GGATCATGACCTGAGCCGAAGGCAGACACTTAACCAACGGAGCCACCCAGGTGCCCCTACGTTAGATTTCCAAACACAGATTCCCACTCTGGCTACTTCTTTAAGGTGTAAGGCTGCTCTGGCTGGAGTATCTGTAAATTCCAATAGCATTTTGCATCATTGTAGAGTCCACCTGGTCCTGATATTTGACAAATAATCTTTCTCTGGCCTAGGCAAAATTCATTTTATTCTCTTGGACTCTAATAATTTTGTGATATATTTTTCTAAAATTAGTTATTCTCCTTTGGTATTGAACTGGGAGGTCCTTAAGTGTACATTGTCTTTGTATTCATTATACAATTACAGTGATTTGGCTTTTTTTTTTTTAATATCATTGATGATTGGATTGCTTAGCTTTGTAATAATTTCATTCCATAATGAGCTAGATATTTTTACATTAAATTTCCTTACATGGTTGCCTGAATAAAGGCTGTGTTGATTTAAACTGGAACTGTCCTCCAGCAGCATTTACTCAGATCCTGGAAAAGTTTTTGTCTTTTAATTAACTGAGTGTTTTTATTTTATTATTTTTTAATTGGAAATTAATAGTTATATAACTGTCTGAATTGTTCTTTGTCTTATTTTGTTTTGCCTTGGTTTCTAGAAGATTTAGAATTAACTTTGGTGCTATATTGAAGCAACTACCTCTAGATTAGGCTTCTGATCAAAGTATTTTCCTAACTCTCTTCTTATTCATTATTGGCAGGGCTAGTGTTATGGGTGTGCAATCTGTGCAGCTGCATGGCGCCCTGAACTCAGAAGGGTGCTATCCTTGCTTCTGCCTTCAATGTCTTGACATTCTTAATAATTTTGTCTTTGAACTTCTTACTAATTTTGTCTTTGCACTTACATTTTTTTTTTTAAGATTTTTTTTTTTTTTTTTTTAATTTGACAGAGAAAGACACAGCGAGAGAGGGAACACAAGCAGGGGGAGTGGGAGAGGGAGAAGCAGGCTTCCCACAGAGCGGGGAGCCCGATGCAGGGCTCGATCCCAGGACCCTGGGATCATGACCTGAGCCGAAGGCAGATGCTTAACGACTGAGCCACCCAGGCGCCCCTGCACTTACATTTTTAAGTAAATTCCAGGGGACAATGGAGCATGCATGCGAGCAGAGAAGGTAAGAGCAATATCCTCGTCTACTCCTCCTTGCCACTACATTCGTACGCTTCATTTGCAATGCCCCACGAGCACAGAATTCTAGTGCACTTAGGATGCCTGGGAGCTCAGCAAAACTCAAAGGTACAAGGACAAGATAAACATGTTCCATTTACAACTAAGTAAGCAAGGGTCCTTATATTCTTTTGAACTAGAACTTGCTTCAAATTCAGAAAGAAAGCGATAGCATTCTAAGAAATATGAATGACCATGCCACTCTATCATATCCTTTCTCAATTCTGTTATTCCCCTCTTTTAAACATCTAATTATGTTAAAAAGGATGACATAAAAGGAAAGAGAAGGATAGGAACATTCACAGTTTCTTTTCCTTTTAGTCCTTCTTCGTTCATCAGGAAGTGAAGGTAGAGAGTATTGGTAGAATGTGCAGGTATCAAGAAGTAAAATGAATAATAAATGGTTTAGGTAGTTTTGTGCAGCATTTTCACTACTGTGGTAAGAATGAAACAGATATGCATGTACAAGCTATGAAGTATTAATTGGGTACTTTTGTGTATTGTGTATCTTTGAATTCAAAACTGGCTTGTACAATATAAAGATGAATGGTAATATTTATGTTCCTAATTAAAAATTTTTATTCTTTTTTACTTAAAGAAACATTAACAAAAGTACAAAACACTGGTAAATTGAGAGAGACCACAGAAGAAAGAAAAAAGCTCTATATTTTAGAAACTTTAATGTTACTTTTCCCCACCTTTTGCACATTGGGCCCCACATTTTCATTTTTGTGTGGGGCCCTGCAAATTATGTAGTTAGCCTGTTTATGGGTTTTGTTTTTAGCTTTCTTTTAATGTGCCTTCAGCAAATTTCTTTTGGAAGGAGGCAATTTTTAAATAATGAAGATTCTGAAGTATATACTCATAGCAGATCATTTCTCCATATGGAATGTGCTTATATGAATGTAGCATTTTTCCAAGGATATACTAGAAGCTAACATGTTAAATTATTGTATGTTGAAAGAAGTATTTATACATTTTTCAAACTACTTTTATTATTTATTTATTTATTTATTTTAAAGATCTTATTTATTTGACAGAGAGAGACACAATGATAGAGGGAACACAAACAGGGGGAGTGGGAGAGGGAGAAGCAGGCTTCCCGCTGAGCAGGGTGCCCAATGTGGGGCTTGATCCCAGGACCCTGGGATCATGACCCGAGCCGAAGGAAGACGCTTAATGACTGAGCCACCCAGGTGCCCCTCAAACTACTTTTAAATTGAGCAATGCTTTTTTCTTTAGGAGTAAACTCATCATTGATTAGCTTACTTTCTTAGATAATTCTTTTATAGAATACACTCAACCATGGCTATTGTCCTTTTAAAAACATTCTAATCAGTGATCAATTTTGATTATCATTTTGCTTACTATGATTGATTGATTTTGTATAGTAAAGTCATAGTATACATAACAGTATCCTTCTGGAAACCTACCCTGATAGAGGGCCTAAATAAATTCAAGTTACTCAGGTTTAGTTCAGACAGGGAAAAAAAGCAATATTAAATTGCAAGAAGTTATCTAGAGATAATTGGCAAAAATAAGCTTGAATTCTACTGGTTTTAGAAGTGCTCTGTGTTTGCAGCTGATTTCATGTGTCTCTCTTCTCCATGACACCTTGCCCATGTGTTTGAATTCTTAAATTCCTGAGTCCTCTTCTAATCAACAAAAATCTCTGAATCTTGTTTTCTTTGCCCTGGTAGTAACTAACCATAAGTTAGATGGTGGAATGACACTATCTTTCATACAATGAATTATGGGGGTTCTCCTAAACTAGCATGTAAGATAATATACAGTAATATAATATAGGAAAAATCCCTATCATTTGATATATTGTGATGAATCATACTCTATTTCTTTTTTCTTTTTTCTTTTTTTAAAGATTTTATTTATTTATTTGAGAGAGAGAGAATGAGAGAGAGAGAGAGCATGAGGGGGGGAGGGTCAGAGGGAGAAGCAGACTCCTCGCAGAGCAAGGAGCCCGATGCGGGACTCGATCCAGGGACTCCAGGATCATGACCTGAGCCGAAGGCAGTCGCTTAACCAACTGAGCCACCCAGGCGCCCAAATCATACTCTATTTCTAAAGACCCGTGTCCATGCTCTAAACTCCAAACATACATTACTTCAAAGACAGACTATTCTATCCGTGAAAAGATTGTATCCTTGACTATTGGTCAATATTTGGTATCTTTTTTACAAAAAATAATTATAATTCAGTAATGAATATATTAAACATTAACTTTCTGGGGCTTCAAAATAACTTTAATTTCTGGTAGATGTTTTATTTGAACAAAATCCTGGGAACAGTTAAATACCATTTGAATCCTAGAATAAGAGAACTCTAAGGATTATGAACATTCACAATTTAGGTGTATTTCATCACAGAGAAGGGAAAAGTTGTTTTGAACCATCAGCATTGAGATGGGAAAATGAAAGCCCAAACCAGGTGTGGGATGGGATTCAAATGTGAAAAAAGTGAGCAGACTGCTAGAGCTAAGAAAAGTGAAAACCTATGGGACATAAGGGGATCAGAAGTCTGCAGGACTCAGCCAAAAGAAAAGGCATTGGAGATGGTGTTGTTTCCCATTTATTACCCTCCTTGATCTTTGGAACAGCTTTTAGTGGTGTATCGCCAGGAAAATGAATCCTTTCTGTACTGCAGATGCTGTATGACAGTGTAAACGTGAAGTCTGCTAATATAATTTTTATATTTGTTTAATCAACACTTGAAGAAATATTTTAAGGTAAAACAATGGGACGGGGAGTAAGAACTGATGGTAATTCTTAAGGATAAATCCCAATTAGAACATTATAAAGACAGGGGCGCCTGGGTGGCTCAGTTGGTTAAGCGTCTGCCTTTGGCTCAGGTCGTGATCCCAGGTTCCTGGGATTGAGTCCCACATTGGGCTCCCTGCTCAGGGAGGAGTCTGCTTCTTCCTCTCCCTCTGCCTCTCCCCTGCTTGTGCACTCTCTCCCTCTCTCTCTCAAATGAATAAATAAAATCTTAAAAAAAAGAACATTATAAAGACAATAAGGAATAATATGCCAAAGCAAATAAATGGTGTGTAAGATCATTATTATTCTTTCCTTCCATATATAAAGTACTTTCTTTATCATAAAAATAGAGGACTAAAACGAAAAATTCTTATTTGATGTGAGTCGTATATTGGGAGGGACTTTGAAGACAATTTCATCTAATCTCCAATATAGTAGAGGAAAATCCCATAAACACTGCGCTGTAGCTACATCAGAACAGGACAAAACACTTGCTTGCTTTGTCCATTTTGTCAATGAACAGGCACATTGGGTTAGCATGACTAGCAAAAATAAGGTAAGCTGAAGATGTTGGCTTCATTTACACAAACATAGCCTCATTTATGATAAAAAATTAAATAGCAAACTATCACTGCAGTTTGAATAGTATCTTCATCATGTAACTACCAGTAAATGACTACCCTTCAAAACTGAACCCAAGGTCTTTAAAGACCAAAAGTACTCCCAAGAATAAATATATTTCTAAATTTTTGAAAGTAATAAAGAGAATTATTATGATTGATTATAAAACATCCCCTGATGTCCCTGTCAGAATAAGACTGAATTGTCCTGTTCAGCATGGTATTTCTTATTTCATAATAATTTAGGAAAGTATGATTTGGTAATAAGGAGTTTTGCCATTAGCTGATGAATTTAACAAGACCAGATGAAAAGAAATTTACTGTCAATGATGTAAAAACTCTATTTTTAAAGGTACTCAAATATAACATATTTTAAAAGATTTTTTTCTAACTTACCTTTCAAATCATGTTGAGATTCAATGGTCTGTTGTAGCCCTTTTATCATATTATGAAGAGTAGCACATTCTAAAATATGAAAGACATATTTATCTGAAAATTATTTGCTTTCATTTTGGAACTATTGTCTCAAAGTTGAAAGACTTAAAATACTTAATTGACAATTATGAGATCTTAATAAAGCAACCAGCTATCTCAAAGTAAATAATATAATAAGTACCTTTTAATTACCCTTTAAGTCAAATGCATTCTGGGATTTGGTCATGAGTTTTCTATGCACAATAAATTCAGCATTGGAGGGATCCCCAGCTCCATGTGCTTCAGCAATATTTGCTGTAGAAGGAAGGTATACTTGGACATGTTTGGGGGCCTTCACCGTAAGCATTTATGCCCTGTCATGTGAATAGAAGCTTTCAATATACTCTTGGTTATAACTAGCAATAGCTAAACCTTTGGTGGGTAGCAATAGGGATGGAAACTTCTGTAATTCAAACAGTCCACTTGGCTGTAAGCTCCAGGTATCAGTTTTGTTCACCATTTCTCCCTAGTATTTAGAGTAGTCGTGGTCCATACCAGGCACTCCATAAATATTTGTTGAGTGATTGATTGATAGACAGGCAATATTATAGTAAACTGAAGCAAGAAAGGGGTAAGTGGAAAAGCTCTGGCCTGAAAATAACATATGTTATATTGTTATTCTAAGTGCTTTGCAAATATTGAATAAGTTAGCCCTCCTAACCCTATGAGGTAGGTCCTAGTAGTTGCCTCATTTTACATATGAGGAAATGGACACACAGAAGTTTAGTAAATTGCCCAAGGTCACACTTATAACTAGTAAGTGGTAGAGCTACAACCTGAACCCCACCAGTCCTATGACTTAACTACCTTACTACCACAAAGAAGACTAGCTCAGGAGTGTCCTCTAGAGTAAAGAGTAGGTTGGAGGCCCTGGAAAGAGGGCAGAGTCAGAGAAAGGCTCTTTTTGATAGTTCTTGCTATTGCATTTTTACTAGAAGTTTAGGGGGCACAGGTTGCACTAGTTTAAGTTTACAATTACACTAGCTAAATATATAGTGATGAAAAGTCCACAAAAGAATAACTTAATATCTTTAAAATATTAAAACTTTAAAGTTTAAGGACAATTTCAACTTTTTTTTTTTTTTTTTGTAGGACAATTTCACCTTTATGTGCGTGGCTTAACAACTAATAAATATTGAGTCTTACTCTCTTTCATTCAGTTTTAGAGGCCCAAGATGGATATTCAGATGGATATGCACTAATATGGCATACTGACTGGCTTCCATTATAGTTGGGCATCTGTTTTGATGGTTAAATATTAAATACCCTATTTGTATCTAATAATAAAAAGATATCTAGGTATAATAATAATAATACCATTTATTGTGTGTTCATTCTGCCAGGCATTATGTTAAGTGCATTATAAACATTACCCCAATTAGTATTCACAATGACACTTAGAGGTTGGTATTATTGGCCTGATTTTACAAAGGGAGGCAGTCGTCCATAGAGGTTTGGTTACTTGCCCAGGATTCCAGAGTTAGTAAATGGAAGGTATGGACTCGAACATAGGTTTTCCCCATTTCAAATCCTACTGTTAATCTTCTATTCAATACTTCCTCAGGAATTATAGGATATGCTGATGAAACCATGAAACTTGGAGTCTGAGGGACTAGAATAGAGTTTCCTTTTTCACTCTCTAGCTATGACACCCTATTTGAATTTTATATTCTCCATCTGCAAAATAAAAGTATGGGTAATATCCATTCTCCCTCACATATAAGACTATTCTCATATATATGACTGTTCTGACAACCAAATGAGAAAACAATACTTTCTAAATTTACTCACACATATTCAACATTGTTATTGTTTTTTCTTTCCTCTACCTCTCAGCAATTTGTATATATCTCTTCCGTCCATTTCTCACATTTCATTTTAGTTATTCGTGGCTTCTCCCACTAGATGGTGAACTCTTTCAGGTAAAGATCATATCTTATTAATTTTGATATTTCTTGCACCTAACATGGTGACTATTTCATAGACGTTCGATAGTATTTTTATTTATTGACTAAAGGAAAGAACTAATATTGTGAGGGGAGAATGCAAAACTCTGTCTTTCAATTAGAGGTCCTGCACTGAGTCTCCATGTACTTTCTTCAACTAAGGAAAGTATTTTGTAGAAGTTAAAAGCTTTATGCAGATATCAGGTTCTACTATTGTGGTTTTTCACTCCTCCATGTATCCCCTCTACCATCCCTCCCATCTGCTCAAAGTGTCCACCATCCTCCATTTTTTTCTCTTTTGGTATTCCCCAGTAATGGAATGATGGTTAAATCACATTTGACATTGCTTACTTCATATGTTGCTATGTTAGTTGCTACAATTAGAAAATTAAGGGAGTGCCTTTCTGCGTCAGTTGCTGGAGCATGCGACTCTTGATCTCAGGGTTGTAAGTGTGAGCCCCACCATGAGTATAGAGATTACTTAATATCTTAAAAAAAGTTAAGGAGGCATAGACCCTGCCATCACTTCTCTTTGTGTCTTTTAGAGGAATAAATCCAGCAATTCATGAACTATGGTAGCTAAAGTTGTCTCAGTACAGTAGACCCTTGAGTAACTTGGGGGTCAGAGGTGCTGACTCCTGTGCAGTTGAAAATCTGAGTGTAACTTTTGACTCTTCAAAAACTTAACTACCAGAGCACCTGGCTGGCTCAGTTTGTAGAGCATGTGACTCTTGATCTCGGGGTCCTGAGTTTGAGCCCCAGATTGGATGTAGAGTTTACTTTAAAAAAAAAATAAAGTTCAAAAACTTTACTAATAGCCGACGGTTGGCCGGAACCTTACTGATCACATAAAGTCCATTAACACGTATTTTGTGTTATGTATTATAGCCTTATTCTTACAATAAAATAAGGCTAGGGAAAAGAAAATGTTACTAGGAAAATCACAAGGAAGAGAAAATATCTTTCCAGTATTGCACTGTATTTATGAAAAAGCATGCACATATAAGTGGATTCATGCAGTTCAAACCTGTGTTGTTCAAGGGCCAACTATAATCAGCAAATTGAAAACAGAGCCCTGAAACTGAAAGTATACTGATTTTTAAAAAATGTGTATTTTCAAAATATGAACACGAGGTGGCTCTCTCAACACTTCTTTTTTTCCCCAAAGGAAACTGGCTCAATAAAAAAATTGTTCATAAGGTGGAATATCATTCATTATTTTAGAATAATGGCTTTTAATTCTCTTTGCAAACCTTTACCCACATCATTTCTGTTGGATTTTACAATGAATACTATCCTATCCAATTCTTCTAAAAGTTAAGAGTTCAGAATATTAAGCTACTTCTTATACTGTATAATTGAGTAAATAAGTGGTTATTTTGAGCTCAAATTTAGGCTCTACCATTAACTAGCAATTTGAACAGTAACATCTGTTTCACAAAGCACTTGGAAATGTTGAATACAATTATGTATGAAAAGGATTTTTTTTTTTTTTTTTTTTTTTAGTACTTGGCCCTCAATACTAATATTGCTATCATCTTGAACTGGCACAGAAATTCTTTATCTGGTATCAAATGTAGAAAATAGGGCGCCTGGGTGGCTCAGTTGGTTAAGCGACTGCCTTCGGCTCAGGTCATGATCCTGGAGTCCCAGGATCGAGTCCCGCATCGGGCTCCCTGCTCGGCAGGGAGCCTGCTTCTCCCTCTGACCCTCCCCCCTCTCATGTGCTCTCTCTCATTCTCTCTCTGAAATAAATAAATAAAATCTTTAAAAAAAAAATGTAGAAAATACAACATCATGGTCTCGTTCTTTATTGTTGAAGAAATCCAATCATATACGTAGTTTGTTCTTCCTCTCTAAGTGAACTAGTACACGCTTGGATCTATAAACTGTTATTCCCACTAGTTCTTTTACTTCGTCTGTGTATTATCCAGTGAAAAGGCCATTAGATTGAGAATAAGTAGAACTGGATTTTTAAAAAGTGTTTATTTTCTCAAATAATAAATACACATGAAACACAATAATATAGTGAAAAATGATTATCTCTCTAATCTCTGTCCCCAGACTAATCAGTTTCCCTTCCCCCAAAGCAAGCACTGTTACCAGGACGCTGATGCTGTTTATCTTTCCAGAGATACACAAATGCATAAGGGAGAGGGTGTTCTGTGTGTACAAAGATATTTTTATAAAAATGATAGCATGCTGTTGTGAACATTGTTGCTTTCATTTACTGTATCTTGGAGATTATTCTATATCATATAGAGAGCTACTTTATTCTTTTTATCAGCTGCTTAGTATTTCATTAAATACATATGCCATAATTTATTTAATCAGAGGAATGTCACATTTGGAAAGGTCTTCTCTGTACTAAAAAACAAACACACAAAAACCCCACAAAAACCCATATTCTCTTCTATTTTTTTCTGTGGTTTCATTTTTTCTCACCTTTAACTTTATATTTTAGTATGGCTTTATACTAAATACATATCCTGAAAAATCAGGAAGGTATTATAGAGAATTGCCCAATATCCTATGCCCAGTTTCCCCTATTAACATCTAACATTAGTATGGTATGTTTGTAATAATTAATGAACCAATGTTGATACATTATTAACTAAAATCTATGCTTTATTCAGGTTTTCTTAGTTTTTACCTTATGTTCTTTTTCTATTCCAGGGTTCCATTCACAATACCACATTACATTTACTCATCATGTCCACTTAGGGTCCTCTTGGGTGTGATAGTTTCTCAGAGTTTTCTTGTTTTTGATGACCTTGACAGTTTTGCAGAGTGCTGGTCAGGTATTTTGTAGAGTGTCCTTTATGGGGATTTGTGTGATGCTTACCTCATGATTAGATGGGGTTATGGGTTTTTTGGGGGAAGATCACAGAGGTGAAGTGCCACTTTCATCACACCATATCAAGGGTACATACTATCAACGTGACATTAAGTTGACCTTGATCGTTTGCCTTAAGTGACACGTCAGGTTTCTCCACTGTATAGTTACTCTCCACCACCCTGTTTTCCATACTGTATATTTCACACAGTGAAAAAAGTCACTCTACACAACCCACACTTCATGAGTGGGGCATTCTGATTTACCTCTTGAGGAAAAACCACTTACATAAGTTATCAGGAATTCTGCAGAAAAGATGTCTCTTTTCCCTTATTTATTTATCTGTTCTTATCAGTATGGGCTCATAGATATTTATTACATACTTTGGCTTACAACCCAATATTACTTTATTTAGTTTGTTGGCCAAATTGTCTCAGCTTTGCCATTGAGAACTCTTTCAGTTGGCTCTTGTATCCCTTTGACATACCCCCATCATTGTGGAGTGTTTTATCTTTTTGAGCATTTTCCTGCTTTCTGGTACTGCAAGATGCTTCAGGCTCATCTTAATGTATATCCTGCCTCAGCCCTAGAATCAGCCATTTCTCTAAAGAGCCCTGGTTCCTTTTATTGTAAAATAGTATTGGAAACCAAGATCTGGGTTCTTGTTGCTACTGCCCCTGTTGTTGTTTTTAGGCCCTCTTAGTTGACATAGCAAGGGAGTATCTGCATATGTGTTTTGTTGTTGTTGTTGTTGTTTTCCCCTCCTGAAATAGGGCATTTTATTAGTGAGAAGTGTTGGTCTGGCAACAGTGTGGCTGGGATGAACAGGATCAGCGCCCATCCTGGGGAACATAGCTAAACATCAAGCATTCCTCCATGCAAATTTAGAGAAAACTCCATGATGGATGACCCCCTCCACCCCAACAGCACTGTGACCTCCAAACAACAGGGGCACCTAAGGCACAGCTGGGCCCAAGGACAGTAGGGTTTCAGTGTCAGGCACAAGAACACTGTCAGGACACCCCAGGAACTTCTCAAAGTTCCAGGTGAACTTGAGGGAATTCAGGCTCTCTTGACTTCTCCAGATGCCCTGAACTGGTTGCACAGGGAAACCAAGCACTACCAGGCTTTGGGGCTGGAGGTTCAGCTGAAGCTCATTTATTGGTGTGTAGTCCCAGACCATTGTGCCTCAAAGCAAGGAGACATTCTCAAAGAGCAGCACCTTGCCCTGCAAAGAACCCAGGCTCTCAGGCTCCCCGCAGGCCAGCAGGTGGGCAGAGAAGGATAGACCAAAAGTGGGGCCACAGCTGGGAGGGTAGCTGGCTGCTGGGAGCTGAGAGGTATATGTGGACTGGCTGTCCCAGAAGTGAGGGGAGAGCTTTGGACTAGAACAGCCCATTTTTGGCGCTAAAATTTTTGACCCATCTGAAATTTCTTTTAGTGTAATTGTGAGGTAGGAATTCAACTGTTATTTTCCCCATGGTTTTGAAGGCCTGGATTGAGCCTTGGATTTGCCATTTCTTAGTTTAGCAGCCTCAGACAGATTAACTTCTTTCATCTTTTGTCTCTTCATTACTGAGGTGACTTAGTAATACCAACCCTATCTGTCTATCAGGACTCTAGTAAGGATAAAATGAAATGATAGCCCAGAAAGTTCTATGTGAATTTAAAATATTTTACAAATATACGGTATAATATTAATTACTGTTGTACCAAAAAATACTCTCATTAGGATTAGTATTTCTTCAGGGGGCAAGGAACTAACCTTCTTTAATTGAGACCTCCTTTGTTTGCATTACTTTTAACAAATAGTTAGTTTTTTCCAACTGCATATCCAGTATATTATTCTTTCCACTGGTTTCTATCATTTTCTGTAGAAGAAATAATATATATTATTACCAAAGCAATGCTACTATTTTGATTTTTTTTTTTAACCTAATGACATGAAGACTAATGAAAATACAGACCACTTAATACTGAAAATTCTAATAATTAAGTCTGGCATATATTTTATGTAAGTCAACTTCCTAATTTATTTTTAATTTTAAAAGTAACATGGGAAAAAATTAAAACAGACTAACAGTTATAAAGAGTTATGAAATTCAAAAATATGACCTAACTTGAATCCCCTTCTTTCCAACTATTCAACCCTCAGTCCTATGGTTAAACATTCCTTATATATATTTCCAAGATATTTTATGACTATACAACTATAGGAAAGGATTATATTATACTCTGTTTTGCACCTTGGATGTTCCACTTAGAACTGTTATCTTGGAGATTATGTCATATAAGCACATAAAGATCTACTTCATTCTTTTAAAGAGCTCCATTGAGTTTCATTTATGAGTACACTGTAACTTATTTACTTATGTATTTATTTATTTATTTTAAGATTTTATTTATTTATTTGAAAGAGAGAGACGGAGCGCGCGCCCGAGAGAGAGAGAGAGAGAGAGAGAGAGAGAGAGCATGAGCAGGGGAAGAGGAGAAGCAGGGAGCAGGAAGCCTGAGACACAGGGCTCGATCCCAGGACCCCGGGATCATGACATGAGCCAAAGACAGTGACTTAGCCAACTGAGCCACCCACGTACCCCTGTAATTTAACTAGCCTCCCTATTGAGAATTTGTGTTGTTTCCACTTTTTTGCTATTACAAACAATGAATAAACAATGAATAAACATATCTTTTTGGTATCTTTGTGCCTAGCATAATAGCTGCCATATACCCTTGGAAGAGCTTCAGAAATCATCAATTCATTGTATCATCTATATCTCTACCCACTTCCCTATTCTCTCTGCTTCTGAATTTATCTCAAAGCAACTCCATAAATCTCACCATCTATATGTATCTTAAGAATTTTATCTAAGAGATAAAATTCTTAATATAATCACAATGCCATTATCGCATCAAAAAATTAATATTTCTTATTTTAAATATTTAAGGATAGGATAGATATTTCTGAATAATCTCCAAAAACTTTGCACCAATTCCTCTCCCACCAACAGTGCTTCTTATTTCTTTCTCTATTCTCTCTTATTTTGGTAAGAGTCACTCGGTTAAGAAAACTCAAGTTAATTGTTTTAAAAAAGTTGATAATGTTACCTCAAAATACCCATCGTCATATTTTTTTATTATGGCCATCCTATACTGTGCAGAGGAAAAGAAGGAATAGAGAAGAATGATAAGGAGAGAAAATAGAGGTAGGTATTATTCCCCTTCCCACCTTTGCTTCACAAGCCCACTCCCCAAATCTTTCACTTATCTACCTACATCTTCTCAACAGCTATTCCTATTCCTCTCCACGGCAGACAAGGGGGAAAACACTTAATATATGCTTGTGGGTTTGGTCTATCATGTAATTTGTCCAGAGTTAGACGGGTGGCGGCGGGGCGGGGGGAAGACTTCAGAGGGATCTGTTTTTAGGCAAAAGAGAAGGAAAGGGACAGAATAGGAAAAAGTAAAAAAATATATATGAGTTAGTCATAATGGTAAGACATTGTGCGTTGAGTCTATTTCAATTCTTACTAAAACATTCCTGGGTTTATGGACATTTTGAACACTTAAGTACGTATTTTCCCTTTAACTTTAGCCAAAGTAGATCAACTGTTTCCTTGTACCAGAAACATTTTGATATATTAATACAAATGATCCAAAATGAAATATATTTTAAATATGGATTTTAAAAATGAGACAGGGCTTAGCAAAGTATATTTCCATTATCTATATCTTGCTTATTTTTTGTTACATTTTTCTTTTTTCCCAGCTCCTTCCACTGACAAAATCTGTTTCACTTTTCCTTTTATACCACAACTGTTTTATATCTTTACATACCTTTTCTATCTGTGAGAAGTCATTTATAAGTTTGTCAAGATTCACACTGCTAATCTTTTTCGTACATTCTTCGCTGCTTTGATTCATGTCTAAACTAGTGAAGAGTAAATAGGGTGAGAAATAGATGAAAGAAATAAGCAAATGCTAAAGCACTATAATAGTGGCAATAATTCAAATACTAAAGTTTCTGTATTCCACCCATAGAGCACCTACTTGAGCTCCATTACACTCAGAAAATTTTTGTTATACTCATTATTAATAACAGTTAAATGCATTAAGGCTTCTTCACTCCTCTCCACGCCACCCCAGTCAAATTTTCTCTAAGCAAATCTAAAATTAATGCAATGTTATGTGCATATGTAGAAATTATTTGTTCCTATTATACAAAAAACTATGCCATTGTTCAACTGATCTCCTGGCCATCAGTACCACAGGACTAAAATCTGGTGTATTGTTAAATCTGATATGTGACTTTTAAATAGAGGTAGTCTCAATTTAAGATGTTTAAAATGTTTATTAACTATTATGCCACTAATATTTTTTGCTCTATTTCCTGGTAGTGTGCTTATTGCCATGGACTGAATTGTATCCCCCCTTCCCCCAAATTCCTTTGGGTATAACCGGCTAACTGCTGAAGTGAAGAATGAGTTTGTTTTAGTCCTATGGAACCAATCATAAGAAATTCTACAGAATTCCAGAAGTAAACTCATCCAGTCAGGATGAAGAAATTGACTTTTGCAAAACTGCAAGCATTTACATTTGGGGGTGGGAGAGTGTCTAGAAGAATTAGGATTAATACAATCTAAAAGTATGAGGCACTTGTCTTTAGGCTTTTCACAAGCAAATTGGAAGGAGAAAATACAAATTTGAAATTTAGACGTTCTAGATTGAGGAAAGAGCACGTGCCAGTGCCTGGTATGTGGAAAGTGGTAGTGGCAGCTAGTCCAAAGTAAAAGGTAAGTAAATTCCTAAAGGGATTACCGAAAGTAATTTTAGGGGTCATATTCTTCTTTAAAATGAGGTACATCAAAACAAACGTTGCTTGACAATTTGTTACTTCACAAAGAAATCCCATTTCCTTTCTCTTTTTGATATTATATGACATTAACAACTCTTAGTGGTTTTTAAATGAAAGAATTTTAGCTGTATATTTTCAGTTAATTGAATTATTATCCTCCATCACATGTTCAAGTAAAACTCTGTAAAATCCCTTAGAAAGTTACAACTTGATCTTTAAGGCAGGTGAGTAATTGTAATAGCATCCCATGATAAATCCAGCAAAATTCCTTTTGGGGTACAATTTAAAAATCACCTCTACTTGATAAATTGTTATTCTTTAAAAGAACCACAGGATAATCTGAAGTAGTTAATGCAAACTATTCCCTCCCAACTTTCTTTTTTCTTTTTAGTTCCTAACATTTTAAATAAAAAAAGGTTTTACTTCGGTTCTGTCTCTGATCCCAGCTCTTGAATTAAATTCGTTTTAATTTCAGCTTGATTTCCTCCCAACTCCTTTCCTCTAATGAGACTCTTGGAGTGTTTTTCTTTATAAAACCATCGCCCACATTCCACTGGCTGTTACTGCATGCTTTCCCTTTAGTCTGACAAGCCATCCGGTCCATTTCTAGGTGTCTTCATAGTCTCCCCCTCCCCCCCCATTTCCTCGATCAAGGCGTCTTCCGTGGATATACGGCCTTCTTGCCCGTGAAACTAGGCGACAAGCTGGTGGTTCAGTGCCTGTCAAATTCTTTGGTGAGAAGCAGAGACTGACTTGTGACCTCCGCGCAGAGGGGTGACAGCCCCATTTTCTTCCCCGTCTTTCTCCCCGCCGACTGGCACCCGGGCCTCCCCCTCTCGCTCCCCGCGCCCGGCTCCGCGTGCGCCCGGCCCGCCGGAGGAGGGGCTCGCAACCTCCTCCCTCCGCTCGGGTGCCCGCGGCCCTCCACGGATTCACTCTCAGTGGCGAAGCCCCGGGCGCTGCTCCCTCCCCTCGCGTGCCGGGGGCCAGAGGAGCCCAGCTCCGCCGCGGGCTGTGCACCCCCGGGCCCGAGGGGCGTGGCTGGGCCACAACCCTGCTAGGGGCTGGGAGACTGTGAGGGGGGTTGAAGAAAAGAATTTCCAAGGGCAAAGTGGGAATTTCGAACCGACCGACGAAAGGTCTGGAGCTTACTTGCCTCGGCTCAAGAGTCCCCCCAGTCCCACACCTCCTCCTCCTCCGGGTGCCGGTCCGCCCCACACGGCGGTCCCCTCCCGGAAGCCAGTTCCCCCGACAACAGGCCCGCCCTTCTCCGGCCCCCCCCGGGCCCCGACCCGCGTTCCACCTCCTCTCGTCCCTTCCCTCCGTGGCCCTTGCTCCCCTCAGCATCTGGTGCTGCGTAGATTTTCCCTCTAGGACAGGACTAAACACCCAGCGGCTGCCAGATCCATAATTATTAATATATATATATTTTAAAGATTTTATTTATTTATTTGACAGAGAGAGAGACAGCGAGAGCAGGAACACAAGCAGGGGGAGAGGGAGAGGGAGAAGCAGGCTTCCCGCCGAGCAGGGAGCCCGATGCGAGGCTGGTTCCCAGGACCCTGGGATCATGACCTGAGCCCAAGGCAGAGGCTTAACGACTGAGCCACCCAGGCGCCCCAATTATTAATATTATTAACTATTTCCCCAACCAGAGAATAAATCACATTGGCTTTAAGTTTTGATCAGTGAGTCAGCATCGTTGAATAAATAATAAACTATGTTTATTCGAGAAAACTTATGAAGTAGGCTTATAAGGTACCAGAGACTGTGCTAGGTGATGGAGATGAAAGCATGAACATAATGCTGTCTCTGCTGTCCAGAGTCGGCTAATGGATCTGGTCTCTCATCTACAAAGCTTTATCCTGGTAACTTAATGGTTAGTGGCATAGACTCTGTGTGGATTCAAGCCCCCAACTCTTTTGTTTATCAACTGAGTGATCCTGGGCAAGTTTTTAAGTATAGCGGCCTCCACTTCTTTATCTGTAAAATAGACATTAAATAATAATGCCTACCTCATGGGGCTGTTGTGATAACTAAAGGAAATGATGCATTTTAAAAGTGCCTAATGCAGTTCCTGGCATAAAGTAAGTGTTCAAAAATATTAATTAGTATAATTTAAAAATTTTGGTCATTAGCAGTTTGAAAGTGTATCCACTGCCAACTTTGCCCTATCTACTTTTTTTTGAGTGGGAGATGAGAGATATATTTTTATTAATTCCATTTCCTATGAAAGCCAAAATTTGGCAAGCAGATACATGTAGACTGTAATAGGATAATCCATACTTTATTATTTGAAAACTAATATAGCATGGTGGCAAGAGAACTAGGTCAAAGTAGGAAATGTGGGATGGAGTCCTCTCTCTGCAGTTAGTAATCTGGGAAGGTTGATTCATCTTCCCAAGCACCAACCTCCCTTTTTTTTTCAATTTTAAAATAAGAGCAGTGGACTAAATAACAAAGCTAAAATTTTAGGATTTTAAACTAGTCTAATGATAAAACATTGCTCATCAAAATGTTTTTAAAAATGTAATTTTCTCATGTTTTTTAGCTCATTAATTTCACACAAAAGATATATATATTATTTATATGTATATTACCTAGTCATATATATAAATATGTCATTAAATTTTTTAACTTCTGACTAATCAGTAAGCTTTCCTTGACATTAGTAACAACACATGGGTATATTAAAAATGGCCTTTTGAATTGCTGGTTCTATCCGATTAGCACATTTAAATGTTCCATGTAACCCATATCATAATGCTTTTTGAAACAAGCCCATTTTAAGGCCCATCTAAACTTTATTTTATATATATGTAATATATATATCTTTCTCCATAATGTCTAGCATAGTCAGAATAAATAAAAATGAACCAACACACCAGAAATAAGTCAGAAAAACTTAGCTTGATTTTTCTAGTTTGAAATGAGTCATAAGCTTCTCTTCCAGTTTATAGATACTAGCTTTTTTCCAGTCTAGTGAGTTCAAAATATATCTGTCAATGAGAAACTATATGAGCTTCCTCTGATTTCATTTTTAAAAAGGGAATGCCTTTCACAGTTGTATTCACAGTTTTATTCATCAAGTATCATCCAACTGAGAAACAAAAAGGATTCATTGAATATTTGCTCAGAAACTGCCTGGAAAACCTAAGAGAGGAATAAATTACATTATTGTGCCATACTAACAAAGGGAGTATAAAGAAAGCAATGTTTGAATCCATTAAAAAAATAACTTGATTTGGAAAATAAACGTATGAACCTACCCAATTGTAAAGAAACCCGAGGTTACGGATTTATTCATATAAGGTTCTTAAGATGAGTGATAAACATTGATTTTTTTTTTTTTTTTTTTTTTTGGTTACAAACAGCTTCATTTCTTTTTTCTTTCAAAAATATTTGTTAAGTACTTGCAAGGTACCAGCTACTGAGGGTTTAGGCACTATGGAGAGAAAGACAAGTAAGATAATTCTCCTAATTTGGAACTTACGTCTCTTAGGATTGCCTTCTTAAGACCTGGGCACTTTCCCATCTATTTAGTCAATAAATACTTTTTGGGCAGCAAACCTGTACTGGGATCTGTGAGAATAGGAATAAACAAATGAGGCGTGGTCCCTGACCCCAGAGGGCTTACAGTTTTAGGGCACCATTGGTTTGTAAGAGAAAAATAGATAATAACCCAATAAATAAAAACTGTAATAAGAGCAAAGAAAGAAACACAAATCCAGGATATTGACTAAAAAGTGAATGGGAGGTGCTTTACATATGGTGGTCAAGGGAAGTCTTGAGCAGATCAGATGAAAATGAGATGTGTAGGGTACATCAAAAAGTTAGTTGCCAACAACAGATAAATGCCAGGGTTGCCTTTCTTACCTCCTGCTAGCTCTTTTGACACACTGCTCCCTGCTCTTATTTCTTTATCAGATTCCCGTTTTTCAATATCTACTTCTGAACTATATTGTCTCGGCTTCAGCTGCAACTTCCAGTCCCGGCCCGTGGCTGCCTGGCGGCAGCACCACTCACACTCATTAACTAAAAGCCATCCTATGCACCAGCTCTATGACCCTGTGGAA